GGTAGAAGGACATATCATTAGTGCTGTGTCCTTGAAGGGGATATTCCAAAGCCAGTTTCTTGCTTTTTTTTTTTTTGACCCAAAGCTTTGACGAGGTGAGTAGCCTCTTCCACCCTGCACTCCCCATGGTGAAATTCTCTGCCATCACAGGCCCAAAGTAATAGGGCTAAGTGACCATCCACTAACTCTCTGAGGCACAAATTTCCCCTCCTTTCTGGTTTATCTTTTCTCTCTCCTCCTTTCCTTTCTCCTTCCTTCATTTCTTTCTTCCAAGATGGGGGTGAGGAATCCACACTGTGTAGCTCAGGCTACCCTGAAATTCATGGGCTGAAGCCACCTCCTGTCCCAGCTTCTGGAGTAGCCAGTGTCTGGGGCACTGTACTGAGACCCTCCTTTACAGGAAACTGAATTTGTCTGGAATTACAGGACTGGCAAGCTGACTCCCACTCTGGCTCTCTGGGCCTTTGTTTTCCTGATAATGTTCCCTTTGGAGAATAACTTACACATTGAGCTGGGTGCAGCTATGGATTGATGGGGGTTCTTGTGAAACCACAAGTTATTTATTGCCAAGCCTGATGGACAGTCTTCTGGTCAAGTCCATGATGAGCTTTCCACAGCTATGAACAACCCTTTCCCTGGTATGTGAAGATGCTTCTGTGAGTAACCAAACACAAGCTGGTATTGAAGAATAAATAAACTCGTGATCAGGATGGCTAACACTTAGGAAGAGTTTGCACTGTGCACGCCAAGTGCTCAGCATGGATTAGCTCATGGAATCCATGCAGAAACTGTCAGGTAAGTGGTCTTATCCCCATTTCACAGATGATTAAATTGAGGTTCTAAAAGGTTGACTAAACTGCCTAAGCTCTGAAGTTAGACAAAGTGTGGGGACTTGGGACAGCTGCACCTGACCTTGCCCCGGCTCTCACTCTTGCCTACCACAAGTAGCTCTCTCAATCAGAGCTGATGTTTTTCGGTGAAAAGGACATTTGAACTGGATTGTGCTTACTTAAATGTGATATTCATTCATTCTGTGGCATCTGTGGGACTATGACCGCAAGGACTATGGTCAGGTTTTTGGGGTTTTTTGTTGTTGTTGTTGTTGGTGGTGGTGGTTGGTTGGTTTTTGGTTTTGTTTTGTTTGGGGTTTTTTTTGTCGTTGTTGTTGTTGTTGGTTTTTTTTGTTTGTTTGTTTTGTTTTGTTTTTCAAGACAGGGTTTCTCTGTGTAACCCTGGCTGTCCTGGAATTCACTCTGTAGACCAGGCTGGCCTTGAACTCACAGAGATCCTCCTGGCTCTGCCTCCTGAGTGCTGGGATTAAAGGTGTGCGCCGCCACCACCCAGCAGGTTCGCATTTTTAAGTACTGTCTCTCTGAAGACTCTTCACAGAAGGCCACTCTCTGTCCTTGATGGCTGGATGTGTATTCTCCCAACTGCCATGATCCAGAAGTGAGGTTAAAATCACCTCCCTATAATACCCAGCCACTCACCTGCTGCTCCTCACAGACTCCCATGGCTGACACACCATGGTTGTCTCCTGGGCATCTTTCTCACTTGAATTCCCCCCTACCACATCCTTGCTTTCCTAGGAGAAAAGAAAGATCCACAAAGAAAGATCTTTGTGACATCTGGCCCTGATTTTTCTGATTTTCAGTGGCCTTCAGTTACCCGTTTTCACAGTGGCTTCACCTAGAAAGACTCCATTTTTAACAACTGAAATTCAGCCTTCTTGTCTGTGCTCAGCCCTGTGTCTTCCACTGCTTTTCAAGGGCGTAGAGAGGACCTCAGAAGCACTTTTAGCACAGGATGACTCTGTCTAAACCCTTGCACTAAGTGACTTAAACAAACACTGGCATGACTTCTAATAGATCAGTGCTGTGTCTCTAGGCTGATGACTCCGGCCCCGTATGGCTCCTGCCTGGGAAAGCTCAAAGTTGTCAGAAGGATTTACTGTGCATTCCAGCCAACACTGGAAGATAGGGCCCAGTCTCCCAGTCTCTGAAGGATGGTAGAAGCCTCACTTCCTAAACACCACTCAGAAACCCCGGGTGGTCCAGCCACTTAGGGAAAGCCCCCACTTGTCCCTTCATGGATTTCCTGTGATGTACCCAGCCTTAAAAAAAAACCTTCTGCCTTTTGTTTCAGAGAAGTTGAGCTCAGTGCAGGCTGGATTCTTCCCTACTGAAGTTATCGCTGAGTTAAACCTGCCCCACCACTTGGTGGGTTCCAGTTTGCCTTATCCTTGTCCACTGCCTGCCCGGGCATCCCTCCTGCCCTGATCACCTCCCCAGCTTAGATCCCCAAACCCTCCACCTCACGCTTTTCTTCTTCTTCTTCTTCGAGACAGGGTTTCTCTAAGTAACAGCCCTGGCTGTCCTGAAACTCACTCTGTAGACCAGTCTGGCCTCGAACTCACAGAGATCTATCTGCCTCTGCCTCCCAAATGCCAGGGTTAAAGGCACGTGCCACCCATGCCCAGCTCCTCACTCTTATCAAGACAGTGTGCTCCACTCCCTTGCCTTATCATCCACGCCTTTCTTTTTCAGCCCCTGCCCCATTCACCAGCCTTCAATAGTCAGCTTCACTCCCGACCAGGTCTTAAGCAAGACCACCAAGGACCTCCTGAGGACCAAGTATGCTTTCATTCTTTCCTTGCTGACCTCGGCGCACTGTGCCATGGTGCTGTTTCTCCCTTCTTGACACGCCCCTCCCTTGATCTGACCTCAGGAACATGCCCTCTTCTGATTTTCTGTCTACATATTTGACCAATCCTTGGTTCTCTTCATGTCCTAGCCTTTGATGGATCCTCAGAGATGTGTGTTCTGTCCGTGACTGAGTGAGTGATCTGTATTTTCCAATTAAGATCTCTGTCCCTGGTGACTTTTAGCCAGGCCCTCGCCTCTGGTTACTGTCTGTGCTCTCGGCTCAGATCTTTCCAATAGTCTCCAGACCTGTTCATTCAACAGCTTCTTGGATGTCTTAAAGTACCCTATACTTTTTCATTTAGTGTGTGTGAGCGCCATGCATGTGCTATGATGTCTCTGTGGAGGTCAGAAGACCACCCCCACCCCCACCCCCCACCCCCGCCCTCTGCCCCTGGTCAGTTCTTCCTACCACCTTGTGGGATCCCTGGGTTCAAACTTAAGCTGTTAGGCTTTTACACGTGGGCCTTCAACCCACTGCGTCATCTCACCCACCCCATCTTCATACTCTAAATGTCTAAATACCCACAATATCTCCAAAGACCCCTGCTCTTCCCACTGACTGAAGACGGCCATCCGCCCAGGGGCTGAAGCCAGAAGCCTGGGCATCGATCTCGGTTCCTTCCTAAGCTTCCTACATCCAGTTAATTCAAAAGTCCCCCTCTTTCCCCATCAATCTACCCCACCCCCACCCCCGAGTGTGTCCACTTCTTTTCAGGTCCCTTGACACAACTCCAGATGTTTTCTGCCTAGACTATAGCATCTGGCCTCCTGCCTGGCGGCCCTCCCTGACTCCAGCCCTGCCCTACAATAATCCATTATCCACCATGCTGCCAGAATGGCTTTTCAGAATGTAAATCTGGCCATAGCTGCTTAAACTCTTCAATGAATTCCACTGGCCTTAGGATAAAGCCCAGACTCCTGCAAATAAGCTGCTTACGGCCTGGCTGCAGCTGCATCCACAGCCTCTCTGCAGCTGGCACACTCTCCCGAGCATGGTGCACTCTGGCCCCTCAGGCTTTCTGCTAGTGATCATGGGACAGTGCTAGGCCTCGTTGTCGTGTGACTATGGAGATGTTACTTGCTAAGGATTGTGTGTATGTTTGTGTGTGAGTGCCTGTTTGTGTATGTGGATACATGAATGTGTGCCTGCGTATGGAGGCCAGAAGAGAACCTCTGATGTCTCTCCTAAGGTGTGCCTGCCTTAGTGTTTGAGAGAAGGTCTCTCCTTGGCCTGAAGCTCACCAGTTAGGCTTGGCGGGCTGGCTAGCAAGCTCCAATGATTCACCTGTCTCGGTCCTCCCAAGCTGGGGTTATGAGCAGCATGCCCACCACATCCACATCCTCTACGTGGGTGCTGAAGGGACACAGAGCAGGCAGACAATGCAGCCACCAAACCATGGTGGCTGTGAGGAGGGAGGAAAGGCTCACTAGCCAAGAAACACACATAGAATTGGAAAGAAGTGAGGCATAGTCTCTCCTAGAGACTTGGAAGAGAGCAAAACTGAAGCCTTGGCCCAGTGAAACTTATTTCAGGCTCTGACATTCAGAATTTTAAGAGAATAAACGTGAGATCATTTTTTACTTATTATTTACTCTTTGACAACTCCACACATGTATAGAATGTATTTTTATCATATTCCCCCTTTAATTCTTATCCCCCTCCCACTGTGAATCCTTCATCACCCCAAAATCACCCATCATCTCCTGCTTTTATGTCTGTTTTAGTGTTTGTGTGTGTGTGTGTGTGTGTGTGTGTGTGTGTGTGTGTGTGTGTGTGTGTGTGTGTCCATGTCCCACTGACTTTAATTAGAGTTGCTTGCCTGAGTGTAAATGGGGGGTTAGTTACTGGAGTATGGGCAATTTACTTACTGTTACATCACTGAAGAAAAATGGCTCCCCTCTCCCTAGCAGCTGTTAGCTGCCAATAACTCCTCAGCTAGGGATGGGGCCTCATGAGCTCCTCTCCCAGACATGATTGAATGTTGACGGGGTCAGCCTTGTACAGGTCTCATACAGGTAACAGCTGCCATGAGTTCATGGTTCAATAGTACATGAGTACAATAACCATGCTGTATTAGAGTTCTCTAGAGTCACCGAACTTATGGAATGGATATATAGACATAGATATAGATAGATAGATAGATAGATAGATAGATAGATAGATAGATAGAAAGATAGATAGATAGATAGATAGAATATATATATATATATATATATATATATATATATATATATATATATATATATATATATATATATATATAATATAAAGTGAATTTATTGGAATGGCTTACAGGCTGCAGTCCAGCTAATCCAACAATGGCTGTCTGTGAATGGAAAGTCCAAGAATCTAGTAGTTGCTCAGTCCCACAGGGCTGGGTGTCTCAGCTGGTCTTCTATGTATGCTGGAATCCTGAAGAAGTAGGCTCCAATGCCACTGAAGGAATGGATGTGCTGACAAGGTGAGAGCAAGCAAGCAGGCAAAGAGAAATGAATCCTTCCTTCTTCCATATCCTTATATAGGCTTCCAACAGAAGGTGTGGTCCAGATTAAAGGTGTGTCTTCCCATATCAAGATCTGGATTAAAAGTGTGTGTAATCCTGCCTCAAGATCCGGATCAAAAGCCTGTGTCTTCCAGCTTCAAGATGCAGATCAAAGGAATGTTGTCTTCCTGCCTCAAGATCTGGATCACAGGTGTGCCCTTCATTTCTGGATTGTAGTTCATTCCAGAGAGTCAAGTTGACAACCAATAGCAGCCATCACACATGCCATCTCCAGAAGACAGCTTTCTGCCGCACTTCCCTTTTTCTCCAGCTCTTACATCCTTTCTGCTCCTTCTTTCAGTGTTCTCTGAGCCTTGGAGAGGATGATATAGACAACCTGTTTAGGGCCGAGCACTCGGCGGTCACTTATTTTCCGCACTTTGACCAGGTCTGAGGCTCTGCATTAACCACTGCCCGCTGTGAAAAGAAGCTTCTCTGACCAAGGCTGACAGCAGCAGTGGTCTACAGACGTAAACAGCAGTAGTACATTCCCCCTGCTCCCATGCCAGCCCCAGCCATGAGCTGTCAAAAGCTCAGGCTTACAGTACCAGGTATTCTGGCCTTTTGTGAAGCAGGCCTCACGTCCAAGCAGGAAGTAGCTGGTTACCCCTGTCACAGCCGTGCTACTGTTAGTTTTATGGCACATAGTCCACTGCTGGGTGAGACCACTGATGACTCCCCCATCCCAGCTGCTTTCGTAGCACCTTCCAGCATTGGGAAGAAGCTTCTAGTTCAGTTCCAGTGTGATTTCTCTGTGTCCTGAACCAGTGTATGGTGTCCTCAGCAATGGGGTCTTGCGTCCAATTCTGGCAGCAACCAAGAGCAATGGCAGGTGGTTGTATTGTTTGGAGAGGTCTCTGGGGGCTCCCTAACTGACATCTCATAGGAAGGAAGTCCATACCTGGCATTTGGGTTTTTAATAACTCATGTCTTCTGGGATTGACATTATCCACCCATGCAGGGTGCCTCTGTCCAAACTTTTTTCTGAAATTGTATTTTTATTATCTTACAAAGTAGTATGTTTCCATATGGCTTTTTAAAGCATTTTTAGTTCTGGTTAGTCATCCCTGATTAAATCCTGTGCTGTTTTAAAAAGTTATTATCCATTTTCTTTTCATTTATTGAATTATTTTATTTCTCTCTCTTGTGTGTGCACGCTCACGTGCATGTGTGCATGCCATGTAGAAGGGAGTATCCGAGTCCCTGGAGCTGTGGTTACGGACAGTTATGAGCTGCCTGACATGGGTACTGGGATTGGAACTCAGGTCCTCTGGCAGTGAGGACCATAAGCATCACGTGCTCTTAACCACTGAGCCATCTCTCCAGTTCTTGGTTTTTGGTTATGAAGCAGGGTCTCGGGCTGTCTTAGAACTTACTGTGTAGCTGACCTTGAATACATAGCAATCCTCCTCCTGCCTCAGCTTCTTGAATAGTGGGTGGCAGATATGAGCCATGTGTCTCAGGTATAAAATACATATTCTTTTAAGCCATCAAGTTTGGGGTAATTTGTTACACCATCAATAAGAAACAAACATAGTCCTCTTCTGCCTCCCTCTGCCTCTGGCTTCTGGTTGGATTAAGCCTTGGGTTAAGCTGGCCACTGGGCAGTAGAGAAACCATTTTTATCTCTACTTGGCCCAAGAAGTGGTGACTTTGGAAACATTCGAAGCAATACCTTCTTGGGGCAGCAGTCACACACAGGTCACCCTCGGCGTAACATGCTCAGGCTATTTCTAGGGTCTTTGCCGGCAGCAGGGTTGAACTAGGGCAGAAGAATTCCAGACGGGTGAGACTCAGCGTTTGCACTCTGTTTTTGGAATTCCCAGAAATACTTGTGGCAGAGGAGGAAGAGGGCAGAGGTTCTGTAGGTGCGAGGAGAGAAACAGCAGGGGCTTTGGGTTAGAGGTGTTAATGGAACTTTATTTATAGACACAGATTGAGAGGGTCTGAGAGCATCTTGTCATGTTGCTTTCCTAGCCCACTACCCGTCCCCATGTCCCTCCACAAGCGGACTGAGCAGATGAAGGCTTCTCAGCGATTCCGCTCTTCCCTCAGTCTCATCAGTTTTATCTTTTCCTTGTCGGGGTGAGGGAGCATGTTCTCCGTGGGAGCTAGTCACCTTTGCTCTGTCTGTCATTTGTTGCCACAAACACCCGTTTCCTCCCAGCTGTCACTGCGTTTGTTCTGCACGCTCCACCATACAGAACTCCCCATCCCAGCCTTTCCCGCGGTGATCTCTGACTTGGATTTCACACTGTTCAGCTTTGCCTCACCACAAGAGATACTCCCATGGAGGGCTAGGGGCCGAGTTCAGAGGTGGGGCGCTCGGTTAGCGTGCGTGAAGCCCCAAGTTCCACCCGAGCACCACAAAAAAAGATGCAGTCAAACAACAAAATACCCACTTAGGTTTTCTTTGTATAGATAATTCTCATGTTTGTATCTTTCCATCATTAATTTACAATGTCCCCTTTCTCACGTACACGTTTTTAGTATACATGTGGATATACTTGCTTCTTACAATACTTTCCCTACGTCATTACGACACGCTGCTGTAGTCCATCTGAGAAAGTTATAGACTACCACGCAGAAAAGGCAGAATTAAAGTCCTCTATTGATCTGGCCGTCGAGAGCAGGTTCTTGCTCCAAACTGGCACAGGGGCTCAGGGACATAGCATTTTTAAAGGTAAACCCCACAATGAGATCATTGTCAGGTTTGGGTCAGGGGAGCCTGGTAGCTGACATCTGTTTGGGCTATCCATCCAGCAGATACTTTGATTATGTATTTGGGCCATGGTCCTGGTCTTAGAAAGTCCTGAATGTGCTGCCAAGGCAGACATGATTGTTCAGGGGGTTAAGGGCTGGAAAGCATCTGAGCAGACAGAATGTGGAGTTAGGGTAAGAGCAGGGCAAGATGGCGTTTCTTCAGTCACTTCTATAGTATTGCCTTTAACACCCCCCTTCATCACACACACACACACACACACACACACACACACACACACACACACACACACACCCCTAGCCATTTCTTTCAGAGTTTGCCTAGACTTCTTACCAGGTTAACTATCTCATTGAAATGACTTGTGCCGATTTTGATTAGGATCACATTGAGTTTATCAGCTCATTTCTGTTGATCCTCATATCACTGTGTCTTCCCCTCCAAGAGGAAGGCCCGCCTCTATTTAAATCTCCTTTTGTGTTCGGGGAGAACTGTACCATGGTCTCAGCCCTGGTGCAGCTTCTTCTCTCCTTTTTGTTTCTTTTTGTTCATTTCTGTCAAGTTCGGGGAGGGTGGTTTTGTAAACCTGCATTTAAGCCACCATGAGTCCCAGAAGTCTTTAGAGTCTGCCCCGAATTGAGGGTGAGGGCGGGGATGATGAGCCGAAACTGTGGGTGTGGGTGAAATTCAGAGAAGATTAAATGCTAAAGGAGAGCAACAGAACTTAACAAAGTCCCAGCCTTTATGGGGAAAGTGACTGTAAAGTGAGAAAGCACACAGAAAGGGGAGTGAGGAACCAGCCGGGGAAGGTGGAGGGTTCCAGAGCTGCTAAAGTCAGTAGACTTCACTAACCGTGGGGAAGTTGTGGGTGGCTGTGGGAGAGGCGCAGGCAGTTGAGTGCAGCCTGTGAGAGGTGAAGCAGCCGGACATCATCAGTGCAAAGGACTCCCAGCATGCAGGGGAACCCGGGGTTACTCCTGGCGTACAGGACACCTCTGTCTCCAGGGAGAGAAGACCTCGAAGAAAGCGGTCTTGGTAGAAGGAAGGCCAAGGTGTTCAGACAGCATGAACTGAAGACTTAAGACAGCTAGAGCAGTCTGGTTTGGTGGTGGTGGTGGTGATGGTGCTTCCTTGGGTCTTGGGGATTGAAAGGAGAGCCTCCGGCATGTTAGGCAAGCACTCTACTCTGTTGTCTTTAGAAGTTTACCCAGAAAGCTCAAGTGTGTTGGGTCTTAGATGAGCAGGAATTAAGATTGAAGGGGAGAAATTTTGATCATTGGTTTTTTATGTTTAAATGATTTATCTGGGTAGAGAAAAGACAAAGACATTTGGTCATCTGGAAAGAAAAAAGGTAGGAGAAATAAAGAAAGAAGGAAGACGGAAGAAGGCAGTGTCAGCAATGAACAGACGTTCAGAAATAACACCTGACAACATGAACGAATTATTTAGGGATATAGTCGTTGAAACCGAGTGTGAAGGATTAGCAGTGTAACTCAGCTGGTAGAGCACTCACCTTGTATGCACAAAGCCCCGGGTTCGATCCCCAGCACTGCATAAAAAACAGGAATGGTGGCACTCACTCAGGAAGTGGAGGCAGGAGAATCAGAAGTTCAAGCAAGTTCAAGACCACCCTGGGATTAAATGAGACCATATCTCAAAAAAAAAAACCTAATCTGAATGCAATAATCTGATAAAGATTATTATCTGCAAAAAATATGTAGCACTTCTTTGTTTGTTTGGGTTTTTTTTTTTTTGAACAACTATGTTATTTACTTTTTTCAAAGGTGTTTGTATTGCCTTTAGGAAGTTCAGTAGCCAAGTTTGTTTGTTTGCTTGCTTGCTTTGCCTCTCTTTTTATAAGGGTTTTTAGACAGTCAGGGGATCCCAGCTATAACTGGAGGAGGATCTGTGAAGTCAGTGCTTAAGGTTGGGGATCCCCAGCAGGTATAGCTCATAGCTGTGTGGGTGGACAGTGAAGCAGGCTGATCAAATCAGCACCTCACCCAGCCCAGCATGGCCCAGGAGTCGCCCTGAGGACACAGCCAGGGGAGAGCTGTCCTGCATTCCCCTCTCGGGCTCTGCAGACCACCCTGGAGCTGGTATGACCTGGTCTAGAGGACATCAAGGAAAATTCCCCCTTCTCTGGCTCCTATACACCAATATCCTGATCCCCATCTGTACCCTAGACCAAAAGGAAGGAGCAAACATTTAGTAAGGCTGGAGTAATTTGGGGGTTATTGGGAGGAGGCCCTGGCTGTTGCTATTGCTGTGTGTTAGTGGATGTCTTCTTTGCTATCCTCACAAAGCTGTGGTCACACCCAGCAGTCAGTGGGAGGTCAGAGTCCACGAGGAGTCCCAGACAGCACTCACCCTCAGGCCGGATCCCCAGCACCATCACCTTGATGTACCTTTCTTGGCAGGAGTGAAGAGAC